TAAGTGATTCATCCAAATCATTGTCATCGTCCTGGTCTCAGCCGGCCAGCGGATACTCGACTCGTTCAGCTCGGCCCGATGGTCCACTTATATCCGGACGAGATAACACAGCTAAATTACATCTAGATGTCGGCGTTTGGAGCCGCGGGGATTCGTATCCCTATGATCAAGAGCAATGTCTCTGACAATTTCAGTCTGCTGTTCGAAGAAGGGCCAGAACATTGTCATTTCGTATGTGTACATCGGGCATTTCCCAGTCTTCCAGATGAATCACGACGGCAATCACCTTGGCCCCCGGTTAAAATGCTCTAGGTGTTATCGAAACGTATTTAAGTAGGTTTTTTCGCTGTATAGCATCACTCAAGACATTTTCAATGGCGGTGGAAATTTCTATTTAAATACCACATATCTTATATGGTACTACGCGAATCGCTTAGCCTCTTGCCTCCGATCTTATCTACACTGGCATGTCACAAAGGCAGCAAGATAAAGCAGTCTATCCCTGTGTGACATGTGGTTGATCCCATTTCAGTTGACTCAAACTTGTCCGGGGTAGACTGAAGCTGCGAGGTGCATTCGGGCGTGGGAGATTGAAGCTTCTCCGTGGTGATAACCCTGCATTTTGCCTAGCTTCCTGGAGGCCGGACTCGAGGTCTGGGTGAAAAACCTTTTGATCTCCCACCGATGAGTCGTCATCCCCCATATGCGGCAGTGTTTCCTGCGACAAATTAGGCCGAGAGAAACGGTTGAAGGCAATGAACGTCTCCTTGTCGCCCTCAACCGCGTTCGATGGAGGAGGGACGCGAACAGATCGGCGTCGAATTGCCACGGCATCATTCTGAACTGGTTGAACGCCCATGAATCCATATATGACATTGAGGATAGGGATAGAGATTCCGTGGACTATAATCGAGAAGAGTGCAAGCCAATACACGACGGGACCAATAGCCCGAAGCATGTCAACAACCTCACTGTCGCCCTCGGCCTCAGCAAGTTTAGGGAAGAGGTGACGCGCATGCTCGACATAGAAGGCAGCACCAACGCCAATAGGGCCAAAGTAGCCCATAAATAAGGCTTCTTTCCAGTCTATGATAGTGTTCGGCATGAGCTTGTACGTGAGAAGCACGGCGGGGATGCGACGGAATACAAGAACAAGTGCGCCGAGGGCAAAGAGTCGGCCGAGACTGATTCCGGTGATGTCAGAGCTGAAGTCACTCCATGGGATGATGGTCCCGAGATATATGAAGCCGCCAAAGTTGAGAAGAACGTCGATGCTGGCGTTGACTTCGTCGTGCCGCTTCTGTGCCTCTGCAAGGTACTCGCCGTCCCAGTTGAGCGCACTGCCAGCGACGAAGCAAGATAGCAAATCGTCAGTTCCGATGGCTCCTGAAGTGCCCATCATGAAGAGCTATGAGTTGTCAGTCAACTTTCATGTAGTTCATTTAGTGTCCGTGACTTACACCAATCGCTGTGGGCACCAGGACGTAGCTTTCGGAATCGATCCACTTTCTGTGTCTCTGTTAGAAACTATCGAATTCGTGCTCATTGACCGATCAACCTACTTTCTGACAGAATACTTCAGTGCAAGCCTGATCAGAGTTCCCATAATGATTCCGTAGGCTATACTCATGAGCACAAAGTAAAGCCATGTCTCCAGCAGCCAATTCAGCAGAGCAACACCAACGCCTCCGCCTTGGCGGGCGACATCACCGGCTCTCGGAAGAAGCGTACGACTGACTGCGTGCAATGTCGAGCCATCCGCGTGCACTTCAGATCCCTCCGCGTGCCGGATGAGATACGTCGTCAGCATCAATATGGGGAAGCCGAAGCCGTCATTCGCGCCACTCTCGGAAGAGATGATTTCACGCAAAGAGCGCCGAACGAACTTATCGGCGAAAGGCCCCTTGGCAACGGCTTGTGACAGGACTGGATCCGTCGAGGTCACGCAGGCAGCGATGACCCCAGCACCCAGAAATGTCAACTTGGGAATGGTTGCCAGGATGCAGCCTGTCGTCGCTAACCACATCAGTGTCATAATGGGTAACATTAAGATTGCCATCTCCTTCCATTTAGTCTTTTGGTACTTTGCTGGGAGTTGATAGCCAGCCATGACCAGCTGAATGCCAATCATCACTCTTGTGAGCCCCTATGACACAAGCCAACCATCAGTGCCTGAACGCAAGGCTCTACATTGAAGTGATCCGGATCGTGACGAGGCCACATTATAAGCACTTACAAGAGTGATATCTTGGGTCTGCCCCTCAACAGCTGACCCCCACCTCTCGCTGTCGATGAACCTAGCGGCTATAGGGCCCAGGCATATGCCCAACACTACGGCCGGTACTGATCAAGAGCAACAAGTCAGTGAATGGTCCTTGGGAACTCAAGTATTACGCTCCGAATCTACGGTGACTACAGCGCGGAGAACGTTGGAGGTTGATCTTACAGGCCTCGCCTAAGTACCACACATTTTTGATCTTGACGGATATGATACCAAATAGAATGATGAACGCGCCTGGATATGGTGGGAACACCGGATTAGTCATAGCCAAAACATGTAAGGTCCGGAGCACGCACCAAAGATAGCGAGAACGACATTTAATTCGCTGGGATCAAAGGTAGGCATCTTGGGTACCCGCTGGTGCCTTCACTCTCAATGTGTGAGTGATCTTTGTGTGACGTGCCCAGAAGGTGTGTTGTGCGTTTGCCGAGAAAGGCTGCCTTGGCCAGCAAGGGCTTTGAGGATAGGGATGATCTCTTTAGCTAATGCTCATACGATATTTGCATGGAATTGCTTGGAAAGAAGAAAGAAGAGATATTCTAACGAGACCTTGAGAGGATGATAAAGAAATCCAAAACGAATGTCTAAACGAGCAGAAGGAAATCCCGCAAAAAATGAAGTCAGAGGGCCAGAACTTGGAATGATGATGGACAACGACGCTTGCTCGATTCCGTGTGGTATGACAGTCACCCGGTAGCTCAGCGCTGCTGATGAAGAGTGGTCTGGTGAGCGGCGGAAGGGCAACTAATTCTTCTGCAGCGCCGAGAGTCCGGATATTTAAGAGTGGTATGTCAACCAGGGGCACACTTGGCTGCGAGCCCAAAGGGAGCGACTTGGCTGCAGATCTTGGGCGGCCAAACTCTTTTGGGGATGGGTTCTGATCACAAACACTTTTGATTCAGAGCCAAGTACGCCCTGTAGATCATGGTAGGGGGTTATAGCGGCTCTCAATGCTAGAGCGTACAAAGTCCTCGAGGTGAAGGCAGCGAGATATCCGTGCTTCGGCTGATACTTCTACGAAGTACTGCCACAAATGGGGTCACAGGGAAGGCGTGACGGGCCAAGTGCAGGTGAATCTCGTAAATAGAAGACTTCACCTGCGGATCAGTATCTCTTCATCTTCAGGGGAGAGCGTTAGATTTTCAGGGGTTTTGTCATCATCTGCTACTTGGCTGGGAATGTCTCAAATCTAGTAGTCTTGTCATGGAGGTATCTGACAGCTTGGTTATTTCTGGATTGACTATCCGTAGATAACACTCACGTGTCCTTCCTCCCAGGTTAGACGCTTAAAGATTTGGCTTCTAGCCAGCCAAAGAACATGACCTAATACAGCCTCAGTAGCGTCGTTCAGACATGAAGCGCATAGCAAAATGTGAGACATGCTTGGTAGTAAAGTGTCAGGCTCAAGGCCAGATACGGTGTAGATTCTAGAGAAATTGATAAATCTCTCAACTTTGGTAATGCCAGGACGCTGACTTAACTACCCCACCCACCGAGTTGAGATGGGCTACGCTAATCGAGATTGATGGACAATTCCCCAAAGTACTTCGATGACACTTTTCTAATGAACGTATTTCGGTCATAGGAAAAGAGCGACCAGAGAAGAACGCATAGAAGAGTTATCGGGTGAGAGGGCTAATGGCTACGGAAAGAGCCGGGAGAACGTGAAGCCAGGTAACATACATAACTCGCCCAAGAAGAAACAGTGGACTGCCTAGAGTGGCGAGGTATGACAAGAGTCTTAGTGTCTTAACAAAGTGACTCGGCGTCCGGGGCTGACAGCACCTTCGAGGACCATCATTGAACGCAATACTTAGGAAGTAGGTTGATTTTCCGCCGCCAATACTCAGCGGAGGAGCCCGGATCTCACATCGGTGTCAGCGCGGCCTCGGCGCCAAGCGGAGGAAGCAAGATTCTCCGCTGAGTGGAGACGAAAGGGGGCGCCGCAGCTGGGAAGGTGATGAAGCCCGGGGCACGCATTCCGGTGTGACGACCACCTTTGGGTCGGCCAAGTCAATACTTTATGGCTCAGACATTGCGATATGATCCCTGTTCTCTTGGATTTTCTTGGAGGTCCTTGGCTGACGAGGATTGTTGGGTGATGTTGGGACCACTCAGTGCTGGGCGCTTCTTGGTGAGGCTCGGCGCTTCGCGCTTGGCGGCTCGTGGTCAGATTATTCAGGCGTTCCGACTTCCTCGCTTCGTCCAGCTCTTTGCTCTATGACCCGGTGACGGATGTTCACGACATTTCAACTGGCCAGGCAGAAGACAAAATGAAAGCCGGTGGGCAAAAGTTTTCTCCGTGCCCAGGTTTCTCGTTTGTGAGGTTTCCGGCCCTTACCAGCAGTACCCCGGCTGGGTTTGCCGCGCGTGCCGTTGCTAACCCTCTGTAGTTCAGCTCGAGGAGATCGAGGTCGATGCTGCAGAAGGTACGCACAATACTTTAAGATAGAGCATAATGATCAAAGACACAGTAAGCTTATTAGAGATCTCAAGGGGCGTTCGGCGTATGAAATTTCGAAAGTGCTTAAGAACAAATTGATTCCCTCGGCAATCACCTATAGCATCTGGTTTCTTCGTGAATCAAGGATCATGCGTTAGCAGACCTCATGACGTAGCCCAACTAATGAGCCTTCTTGTCTCATGGATTTGCGATGGAATTAGGTTATTAATTTGATAAGAGAGATGAGTTTCCCGATCTAAAGCCCCGTCCTCAGGCTCAAGCCTTGCAGTCATTGCAGTTGGCTCGCGTCCAAGCATATCTCCAATTCTCATCTTTTTTGTTCTGCTCCATAACGCCATAGCTGATATCCATACAACACGCCAACTGAGTCCCTGAGCAAGGGGATCCACCCCAGGATGTGGTGCACGTGGCACTGGCACTGGTGGCGAAGAAGATAGCGACGACAGCCGCGGTGAAGCCTGTGAGCTGCATTGTGGGTTGGAATCCTGGGTGCTACCTCGTTAGCGAAAGGCCGACCAACAAGTCACGATTAGTAGTTTCACTTACGCAAGGTCGGTGGTAAAGAATGCAATTGATAAGGACTGTGACGGCGTCGGCTTGGTGAAAATGGTGGTAGTCTTAAAGGCTTGGCTGAGCTCAGGTTCTAACGAGTGTCTTTATAGCTTGATCAAGTCGAGCACGATCAACTCACGCAGGCTGAATGAACGATTAATTTGCAACATTTTCAATCTATTCCAAATTAAATCGTCCCCGGTTTTGAATCGATCGAGTCAGTATCCAGAGGCAACTCGTACTTTAGAGTTATCCCACCGGTATCAGGAGGCGCGTCTCCAGCTGTGGTGGGAAGGACCGCATCCCGCGGGTTGTCACATACTGAAGTACAGCACGCTGAGAAATTACCGTGTCCGTCCTGGTATCATTTTGGATAGTTCCATAGTCTCTGTATTTATCGTCTTAATTCAAAGGTTGAAGTGCTATGGGATGGCTACGTTCGGATTGAAGGTTTGTGGGCAATGAAATGGCGCCCTTGGGGCAATTGGCCTAAAATTATTAGATTTTCTGCTCGATAGGAACAAGGTTAAATGTAAGGTTATATGAAGAACTATTGACAAAACTTTAGGCTCGTGGACTAGGGAAAGTCAAAATAGATCAAGAGTTCCTTGCTTAAAGTCCGAGTTTGCCAAAGTATGGTGCGTGCCAGGTCAGGGTAATGGCAATTCAAATGCCCAGAATGTCACGACACATCACCAAGGCGATAAACCTTGGTGAGGGTAAGCAGCTCATCAACACAGGTTATGTCTTCTTCCGTCATTATTACCACCAAGATACGTCTAAAACTCTTGCATGTCTGGATATATCATCTTGGTAAACCCGTGATTTGAATTACCAACAGTGACGTTTCAGAGCTTGAGCAAAAGATATCAAATCAGCAACCCATGTGATCGAGGTCTTATTGATTTACCTTTAAGCTATCCTCGGAATTTGTAGTCTGTCATAAAGTACAAGCTGATGCAGGTTGTTAAGCGCTGTAAACCGTCTCAGCTAACTTGACAGTCCATAACTTATTCTGGCCCAACACTACCAGAACATCCCCGGCGAGCTCGAATTGTACAATCGCCGTGTTAACAGAATCTCTCGTGAAAAACTGTCCATTAAAGACACCGATAACCTTCCCTTGAGAACTTCGGACCGCAACACCTTCACCCTCACCCGTCCAAACTCTACCCTTGTCATCGATGCGGATGCGATCCGGAGCCTGCATTCTCGAGACACCAAAGGTTCGCTTGTTGACAGGCCACATGTCTTCGTTGAGATCGTATTTGTAGATCGCCGGTGCTCCTACTTGAGCCGGTAGCCCCCAAATTCCACTTCGCTCATCGCCGCCAAAGTCGGTCACCCAAAGAGTCTTTTGGTCCCTCGATGGTCGGACGCCGTTGGCGACGGGGAACTCAGTCCTGCTAATGGCAGGTAACAAGACCTTCTTCTGGGAGTCCCAGCGCCACAGACCCTGAGGCAGGCGATCTGTCGTGGTTGAGTCCCCGGCGAAGGGCAGGACAGTGATGAACATGTACGAGTTGCTTGTTCCCGGCTGTGTGACCTAGGCCACATCGTCAATTTTGTCAAACTTGAAACTTGAGACCAAAGTAAGAGTTGAGGACAGTTTCGACGTGGCCTGTCTCTGGGTCGACAGATACGACCCCGCCAGACCAGTCTCAAGAGTCGTCTCGCAAGCAAGCGAAGTACATGAGACCTTGGTGGTAGAATCCTCTATTCGGGTTCTTCAACGGGTTGTGAAGAGGTCAGGTTTCTGATGCTGTTGTTTTTCAAATCCAAGATTTCCACGTGGGTAGGCCCATCATTGATCCAAGTTGTGTACCAGAGTTCATTGCGATCGCTGATCCATACGCCAGCTTCTCTCGCAAAGTTGCCTGGACGCTCCTCGATCAACTCAATGGCTGGATTCTGACCGAGAAGTGCCAGGAACTCGTCATCGTATGAGATGAACGGTGCTTTGGTGGCAAATTGAAGGAGTTCGTTAGTTAACGTATCCGACGTATTGGTGCCATTAACAAAGCTGTGAAATAAGTTGCCGTGAAATGGTGAAGGAAGAAGATATGTCAATTCATATGGGACGGAAACAATGCTGGTATCCTGCGCAAGGCATGTCTGTAAAAAGACGGGGAAGAGGCTGGCGTAAGCCGAATATCGTGGCACCATATTTGTGTCTGGCCTTGGTATGATGGACTTTGTTCGTGTAAGAGAGCCGATGATTGTGGAAGCGAGTCTCAATCGGTCACTAGGAACCGGCCTACTCTAAATAATGGCATCGTCTGTACGATGTTATTGAGTCAATTGTATTTCTGCTACAATTTCACCGCGGAGCAGTTGCTACCGCGATACTGGTAATTATTACGGACTCAATTCCTCTCTCATCCGGCCTTGGTTCGGCCACACATGATTGTACGTGGCCTTCAAAGATAGTTGCCTTAACAGCGATCAAGTCTGCTTGCCTATTTAGGCAATCGTTACGGTGAGGAAGGTTTAAACCCTCCTAGAAGCAAGGGAGATGGCGGTCAATGCATTGTCTAACACAACCTCTTCGGTCGACAATACCGTTCTCCCCCAGAAACTCGATCGGGCGAACATGTTAGTTATCTTCGCCTTGCTCCACTGAACAAACCCGCGGTCAACCCAACCGCACTGGTCTTCGTCGGCGATAAGCCGGACCGCGGCCGAAAGAGCCCCGCTGGAACCTCCGTGATCTCGGTGACGCCGTCGCAGCCACCGGCAATGACTCGAGCTGTCAAGGGGGCTTCCAAGGCTTTTGATTAATGATGCGGAGCCTTCCTCGCTGGGAATAACACCCGATAATTTCCGCGTAAAGCCATTAGAGTGATCTATTTTGACGCTTGCTTGAAGGCATCTGTGGCAGTCTGCATGTACATGTACAGATATTGTGAGGAGCAAGGTGTCAAATTGCAACTTCTTCAACGACCATCAATCGCCCACGCCGCCCCTCCTTCTACTGAATAGAGACTCGAGCTGCACGACGCTTCCGCAGTGATCGGAGATGACGACTGAAACTTTCTTCTAGAAGCTTTGTCCATCAGGAATGCGTGAGAAGTCAAGTCTAATGTCTAGCATAACCTGCATAGTTTCCATGTCTCTTGCAGCAGGAGCGAGGGCTTGTGAGACACGAGAATGAGAAAGTCTTCCTCTCTAGCAAGATCCAGCATTCAAAAGAGCTCCAAGATGATTTAAACATCAGTGAGCACTAAACTATCCGAGACTTTCTATCGTTCAAGAAGCCAAAAATTTGTCTCATCAGTGGTGGACTCGGCCATTGAGAGGACTTGTTTCTTACCGATAACAAGTCGCGAGCTTTGGCTACACTGCCTTGACTTAAGAGGCAATGTCTGTCGTGATCATCAAGAGTCTTTCTTAATTCCGAAAAGCATTTTTGTGTCTTCCTCGTACCCGTGTATGAAAAGGAGGATACGTACATATCGGTGACTTGACTTCATGTTTGTACACACCCTCTAACTCTTTGTACACGCTTCACCAACGAGCGAGTATGGTGATCGTGGCCGAGAAAGAGTTTGCTCTACTCCATATAGCGGTATTAATTTGGGTCCTCGTGCGATTCATACAATCGGAGCATTCGCAACTCGAGACTTCAATATGGAACCCCAAGCACTCTGCGCGTAATTGCACGTAATATAGAAGGAGAATAGAGTACCCCGACGACAATGAGCCTGACAATTGTGAGGAATCGTCTACATAGGACTTAGACAAACTCGAACAAGACTGGTGTCGTCTGCACAAGTTGTTGCACAAGCTACAAGGAGTTTCTAACTTGCTCAGAGAACCATGGCTGAAAGTGATGGTGCAAACACTCAACGCAGGACACCACATCAAAACACGCATTTCAAAATACCGCCAGTCCGCGAACCACAGTTCTGGCGGACATCACCAGTCATTAGAGAATCAGTTGCCACCGAGTTGCCAAGGACTCTTGGAGCCTGATGTCGCCACGCCGCCTCCAAAAGACAATTACATGGCGACAGTGGACGACGCCGTGCGACACCCACCGTCTGACATGCTTCAAGTATCTGCAGCAAGGCATCCCACCAAGCGCTCATGCGTTTCCCACCGTGGCACCACTGACACAACGCAGGCAACCACAACGGAAAGAGCCAAGGCAACCTCCAACCTCATGAGCCGTGCCGTGCCGTACCGCCAGGCTGGCTGATCCGTTTGGCGCTTCTCATTGAACGTCGCCATCTGTGTTTCTTCCGTTCTACCGTGTGCGCTGCAGGTTCCGACGGATTTGGTTAGAGATGCATATCCTGTTCGCCAATCAGCCTTGCCTCGACTTGGTGATCTGGTGCGTGGTGAAAGGAGACTTGTCGAGCCTGAGCTTGGCTTATTAGAATCCTTAAAACAGCTGCCGCTTTCTCTTGAACTCTTGGATGTGTTCGTGATTCCCCTTCGCATCGAGCTCTGTAGTGAGCTATACCGATCCTACCCGGGGTTGCGATGTCGCAAGCAACTGCATCAATGCCAACTCATACTGGTACTTGCGATCTCGGAGCAGATGAACATACGATTCTCAACTCCGCGTTGGGCCCCATCCTAGCCCTATCGGCACTTCATCCGCATTGCACCGGGATCATTTGCTGCTCCGCCTGCCCAGCTGGCCGACTGCATCCGGGCATATTCCTTGTCGCGGGCTTTCTAAGCGGGGTGGATCGCTGGAGATTTGACAATTCACCGAGACCCCCGCTCGAAGGCGGGAAGTTCCCCGGTGAGAGTTGAAGCTTAATTTATGTAGAGTTCTTGTTCGGATTCGTGATCTTGTCTTGTTGATTTAGACCTTTGGCTTCGCTGGCTGGTGTTATGTCGGGTGGGTTCGTAAGTTTTTCGTCGAGGGTAACGCGCTTGTGGTTTAATCGTGGGTTATCTTTTCGGGGAATCGATTCGTGAAGACGCAGTGGATGTTCGCGGCTCGTTTTTGAGTTTGTCTGGGTGATGTTAGAGTCGGTTGTCGTTGCTTTAGCTATGGAAGCCCTTCAAGAGATGAGCACTTGAGGAGGGGCCGGGGACATCGGCGTCCAGGCAGATCACGTTCCTGCCAGTAATCAGTTCATCAACATGGAATATTTTCATCAGGCTGAAATTGACATTCCTACTCGAGATGAAAAAGAGAAACTGAGTGACAGTCCCGGCTGTCAGGGTCTAGAAAAGATTGCACAACCGAGCCATCAAGGTTCGCTACTATGGCCGTTACTAAGTCGGCTCTCGTTGTACTTAGTACTGCCGATAATAGAACCTTGGTATGTGGTGCCTAGATCAGTCCTTTGTGAGGTACTCTGTTAGACAGGTGAATGCATATAATCTCAATATCATGTTTTGTTTCATCGTCAGAGTCATCTTCGAAGCTGACGGGGGATAGTTGCAGAGCTGAGCCTAGTGCCACAACCACATCGGCGCTTCAATCGTTCACTGCAATTTTAACCCCCACGAAGGGTCCAATGGTCCTCAAGGACCAACCCATGAAGAATTTTCTTCGTTGACGTGCACCCCGAAAAGAGACAGCAATTGCCAATATCGTACAGATCAACCACATCATCCAAAGCGATGAGGTAGGTAACCAACACTCCCATAGGCCTTACATCATTTTCAAGCCCCCTCGTGGTTTCAACGCCAACACAGAGAAACCCCGAAACCCCGTTACCAGCAGATCACGGCTACTTAGTAAGTACCTAGTAACCACGCGCCGCGCGCCACGCCTCAGATAGCTCCCCCAACGAAATCGCCCCCAAATCGCCGCCAAACCACACCCAGTCAAGTTCGCATACCTCACATCCCCAATCACAAGCCGCAACTCCGCCAACCGTTTCTCGCCGCATGCCTTCGTGCTCATCCCACCTACCTTATCCTCCCTATCGCAACCACATCTTCTCATGTGCCAAGCCGCATCCATCCAGCGCATCAATCAGTCAAAATCAGTCAGCTGACAGTTTGAAACGCCCTACATTGATAAATTAGGCACATGTATCTTACACACACCAACGAACCAACGCCTCGTCCCCCGCACCTCCTCCTCCGTTGCGAACTATCCAATACATGCCCGCATGAACCCCCGATCCCGACGCCGAGTGGGGGATAAACCACCAGAGGTGCCAGCGAAGTGGAGGGGAAAGGGACATTCTCCAGCTCTCCCGAACGAAGCTTGCTGTCATCCCGACCTTCCTCCCATCTTCATTGGAGCTGGCCCCCTTTGGAGAAAGCCTAACCTTCTTCCCCTCACTGATTTGGCAAGTTTGGAGACCCGAAAAGCTCCAGTCTCAGCAAATAGCGTCAATCAGCTCGAAGCCATGCATGCATGTCCCGCTTTAGGTAGGCATTCAGCGGGCCGCTCGCAACCTCTCCAAGGGAAGCAAGATCCCCACCTGAAGAATCAGATGCCTTTAAATCACTCACAAGGATACAAAGCTATCCATTTTTCGCAGAATATGTACTTTACCCAAACACAATAGGCCGCATGATTGGGTCACCAGCAGAAGAGGTAAGATATTTCCCGGGAATCAAAACACTCGTAGTTCGTATTGCCATCTCAAAACAAAACTATCATACCACGAGACGAGAGATAAAAAAGAATGAAAGAAGAATTCTCCATCTCGAGTCCCAGTTCCAACTACCAACAAGAACTGCCGGAATTGTCAAGCGTAAATGTAGAAACCCGGCGTTCTCCACAGACTAGAGGATTCCCCGTTTCGGCAATCATTGTTGGCAAATGGAACTGGGTTCCAGCAGTCAAAGATCCACCCCTAAGTCAACATCTTACAATCCTTCCACCCGCGTTGTCGAATGGAGGGCACACAGCTCGGGTTGGATATTGGCTTTTGGCGAGCGAGCCGCTTCCGGGTTGTCAAATTTGATGGGAGCAGAGAAGTCATGCTTTGTTTAGTGCTATGAAGATTGAAGGTCAGCGCCTGTGTATCTTGAGATTTGCTGTCATAGAGATGTGGCTTACGGAGCAAGAGCCGCAAGAGCAGGCAGTGCAGGAGCCAGCGCAGCTGGAGCCGCAGGAGGAGCAGGTGCTATTCACATCAGGTTAGCTTCGACGTCGGAGATCTCAAAGGCATAGCTCCTCCGGTGGGATAGATCGAAACTCAAAGAGAATCCCAATCATCCAGAAAGAGACTCATGCG